CTTCAGTATTCACTTACATACACACACACACACACATATATATATATATATATATATATATATATATATATATATATATATATATATATATATATATGATTATTTATTTAAAATATGATTCCATCGCTACATAAGAGTTCTCATGTTTCAAAACAAGGAAGTAAGTATTTAGTGTTCATAGTTGTAATTAACCATACCCTGTTGATGACATTATACTATGTCGAAAGTACTGAGAAACAAATACAATATGAGCCAACACAGTGTTTTCATCTCGTCTTTTAATAACTGCACAAAAAAAACTTATCCGCAAATATGAAAGGATCCTATCGAGAATAGATAGACAGAACATATCTAAATTATTTAATGAAACTTGTATTAATGAAACTATGCTACTAAATATAGTCATTTCATACATACATATATATATATATATATATATATATATATATATATATATATATATATATATCCTTTTTTAAAATTAAATACTATGGACAGTGGAATTATGCTCCATTTGTTTTTATAGCTGGAGAAAAAAAAAAAAAAGAACAGTAAGATATATAATCCGGTGTTCTTATAGATATTTTTATTTTTACAAAATAGTGCTCAATGTAAATTTACAGAGCATTAATATTAAAATTGATTTAAAATATGTTTTTTTAAGCTACACAGTTCTAACCATGTTTCAAAAATGGAAGCTAAAAGCTTCGAATTTAATTTTGTAATTAAATTAAAGACATTAGTTCCATTTCATCCTCAAGCGAATTTTGGAGTAACTTATTTTTAAAATTACTTGGTTTTAAAGGCACTGCAAAAAATTCATAATTCAAGTTTCCAAGGATACAGAGATAATCCATTCATCCAGTTTGTGATTTACTAAAAAACTTCTGGTTGTCTTTTTTCCTCTCTCCTGCCTTGGCCCAAAATATTTTTTTAATTTTTTTTATATATATATAATTTTTATGCAGGCTCCCCCCCCCCACTTAGACATTTACGCATTTACTTACATCAATCAATGAAGTACTTGACATGGCAATTGTTTTGAGAGAGCCATGTGCCAAATCGTTCCTAACTTAAATATGTCTTGTGCTATACAAATCAAGTGAAAAGATACAGTTCTGTTTTAAGTGAGGAGTACCATTTAACAATATATTCTACTCTTAGAAAAACTGTGCTTGTGAAAACAATTCATGATAAAGCTTGCACACACATTCTCAGGGTGTCCCTTAAAAATGTATGCTAACTTTGTTAATAGGCTATGATGTATTGCCTGATTTTCATTTAATTTTCTTTCTATGTCCTGTCTCTCTTCAAGATGTTGGCAGTCATGGCTCTCTACAATTTCCTGTCCTTTGTAGCTCTTGTTAAATTTTGTTTTATTATTATCTCTCAGCTTACAGACACATCACATTGAAACACTGGTCCCCGTACAATCACCAAAGTTAAGCAATGTTGAGCCTGGTCAGTACCTAGATGGGTGACCACTTGGGAATACCAGTTACTGTGAACTTGGATGTGTTGTGGTGTAATGGATAATGGCTTGGAAATTGTTAATCAGAGAACCAAGTTTCAATTCACGTTGGATTCGTTATATTCACTTATGTGCAAAAATACCATTGGGAAAGGTGGAATCCACCTCTTCTCCCTGCAGTTAGTAAGCACTAAATGATTATTTCCCATAATATTTCTTACAATCTAAAAATGTTTTCTGGCTTTAAATAACCTTCAAAGGGTTGATAATCTATAGAAAATGAATCGATCAATTTTTATTATCTCTCCTCCAACCTTTTCTGCCATCCATTTACATGAGCTCATTAGGTAGGTTATGTGCTGTTTTCCTCTGTCCCTCTTGCCTTCAATATGTCTTGAGAGTGTCAAATTTTCCAAGCCCTCTTTCCTCATTATGTGCCCTAAAAATTTCAACTGTTTCTTTCGGATGTTTAAGTGTTCTTTTTGTTTCCATTTTCTCTAAAACTTTGTCATTGCTCACATGTTCATTCCTTGTTATTCTCAGCATCCTTCTGTAGAACTACATTTCTGCTACTCTAAGTCTCTTCTTCATCTGTGAGGAGATTGTTCAGCCTTTGATGGCATATAGGAGGACAGATATCATGTAACAGTTCAGTAGTCTTTTTCTTTTTTTTTTCTCATGTAGTTGACCTGTTTCTTAATACTTTGCTCAGTTTTTGAAAGGCATCTTTTGCTATCACAATGCACCTTCAGATTTTGGTGTTGCACATTCCATATTCTTTTATAGCACTTCCCAGATGTTTAAATTGGTGTACTTGTTTGATTTTGGTATCTCCATTTCATAATTTGCATGGTAGGCTGTTCCCTTTTTTTATAAGTTTTTCGTTTGAATTTATAGCTTTTTATATACAGTAGTCCACCAATATAGTGCAGACCTTGAGGTCCAAGATGGCCGACTCACACTGCAAGTGAATCACAGTAGCTGGAGGAGGGACGATAATATGAGGTTGAACACCTCCCTGATTTTGGGGTTCTATTTTGCGACATATACCATAGATAATGGCTCAAAAAGAACCTAAAAAAGTCATACTAATTTATACCAATGATTCCATGAGAAATTTTGGGTAATTTGCTTTTTAAGCCCTGTGCTAAGTATCTAATAAAAATTTCCTAAACAGTTATTTTTAATTCTAAATTTATATGCCTAATTCGAAAATAACAAAGAAATTTTTATAAAATCTACTGTTTTAGAGTTATCGACAATAAAAGTTTGGACTCATTCACATCATTGTTGGCTACGGCACGGCAACCATTATTGGCGTTGCTTGCATCAGTGCATGTGCAATAGTCAAGACAAGTGTATGTCTGTTCTGCAGCAAATATATGCAAACAATGCCAGTAAAGGTCTGCCACAGCGCGAATAAGTTTGAACTTTTATTGTCAATAACTCCAAAAAGGTAGATTTTATCAAAATTTCTTTGTTATTTTCGAATTAAACATGTAAATTTACACGTAAATATAACTATTAGGGAAATTAGGACCCATCTAATGATCAGTGTTTGTTCTGTCTGTAATGAAGATGGCCCAGAAATTGGTAAAATAGGGTAGAACTAAAAAATTTTTGTAATTGTTTGTGTTTGTTATGAATCACCATCAATCAGTCTGATGCTGGAAAAATGATCAGATCCTTGTACCGCTCCAGTAAGTACCTTAATGCTGCTATTCTTTATCATTATAAGAGTCAGATCAGTATTTTTTTTATTATATACAGTAAAGTATTGTACAAGGCCCGGGAGCTACTCAAGGTAGAGTGTCACATTAGGTGGCAATTTGTGCAGATAGGAAGGGGAAGAAAACTGTTCACTCTAGTCTTGCACAGGTTAAGATTGTAATGCTGCCATATATGGGCAGCAGCTGTCTTGTTTTCACTATCCAGTTTCAATAGTCCAAAAGCGTCCTTGTGGGTGATGAATAACTTCCCAGCCTACAGCCTCTTTCTCACAGACAAATCATGAGTCTCTCACTGCTCTATGGCTATTTCCATGGAAAGTGTTAAGACGAACAACATTCCTTTGTTCCACTAGTTCCCACCATGCCATGCCCATTATGGAGAACCACCCTCATTCCCTTTGTATTCCATTGGTGAGATGTAAGTTCCACACAAGGAGCAGCTTCTTACAGACCGCCGCTTGGTAGAACCGACTCCCAAGAGGATGCTTCCCTGATCACTACAATATTAACCTATTGAAGTCTACGGTTAACTGTTATTTTCTCCACATAAACTGTCTCTCTTACTCTGACCCTGTTCTTAAAGTGACTCTTGGCTCTTGCACGGGATAAACATTATTGTAATAAAAAAATAAATATTTTCCAATATTTCTCTTTTCTTTGTCAAGCCACTTAATTTAGTAGTGATCGAGCAAATATACATATAACTTAGCATTTATCCACACATGCACACTAAGTAATTGCTTAATTGATTTGACATACAGTGCTCAATATCCTGAAGTTAGAGCCATATGTAATATAACTTCTTTTTTTTTTTTTTTTTTTTTTTTTTTTTTAGATTTTGTTCAAAATGGGATAAGCATACGAGTAACTAAAGATTCACTTTAATTAGCCACTCGATATAATCTGTCTATGCTTTGAAAGAACCAATATTTACACATACACACAACAAAACAACAAAATCTAAAATTGCCTCATATCCCCGGGGGTGTTTGTGTATAGATCTATTTCAACCAACGAGAAGTATGTCAGTTTTATTCAACCCCGGTGTATAGACCCTATATAGAGTCTATACAACGGGGTCAAATAAGACTAACGTATTTATCATTGGTTGAAACAGATCTATCCAACAGCCGTATATGAGGGAATTTTGAATTTTTTGTGTAATTTATATCCTATGTTAGATACAGTGAACTCTTTTTGTGGATCAGTTTTAATATTTGTTATTACTAGGATCCACTTGGATTATATACCAACGGATTTATTACCTGTACTATGCACATATATACCTCCCAAAGATTCACTAAAAAAAGAGCGTGCATGATGAAAAAATGGACAAAACTTAAAAACAAAGTTTTATCGTCAAATTTGTTTTGTTATTATTAAGAGGAAAGACTAAATGGTTCTTGGATTCTAAAATTATTTTATTAAAAATATATTTTTAATCGTTTTTAGAACGTTAAAAATTTTGGTTAAAGTTATTTTTTCTTGCATTAAAGTTGTGGCCATGAATTAGTAAGGAAAATTGAATGTCTTTTTGCAGTGAAAAACATTGATTTGGAAATTCTTTTAAAAAAATCAGATAATTTTCAAATTTTAATGAAAGTTTCACAATTTATTCACAAATGAATCATATTATTTTTTAAACATCTCTTTTTCAGAGAATTTTGGTAAAAATTTCTTTTTTTCTACATTTCTTACCCCACTTCTTTAATTTTATGAAATTTCAAAAAATTCTTTTTTGTACCACTTAATGTTTATAGTAGTTATAAGGACAAATCATCAAATTTTTTGGTCAAACAGGACCCCCAGTTACAGAAAAGCTGTTCCAAATCAAAAAATGCTAAAAAACGAAGACATTATTTAATTAGAAAAACTATTAATTGCTTTTATGAATAAAATATATTATGGACATTATTTTCTTAAGAAAAATTTATTTTTTGTTGAATAGTGTATATTTACAAGTATTTTTATTTTTTTAAAATTTTAATTAGAATAATTTGTAAACTTTTAAAATTCCCTATTAATTTGTAGGTGTCCAGTGATATTGTTATTAAGTGAAAACTATATTCGCTAATCATAGATTAATAAGTTTACTACAATTAAGCAATCCCTGTTATTTTAAAAGGAATTTTGAATTTGTTTTGTGTGTATAAATGTGCTGATTTTTGTAAATATGGATGTCCATAAATGTCATTATCAGAAAATAAGAGTGCTGATTATAGTAAATTTAAAACTTATTGCTAATTTTCTAACATTTCCTCAACAAACGTGTGGCTATAAAGTCAAAGTACCTAGAATTGAATAAGGTATTAGAATGTTTCGAATATTATAAAATTTTTAAGATAACTGGGTAATTAAAAAAATATCTAAAAAAGGTGAATACATTGTATTCAGGTATCCCCGCTTAAATAAATCTCATAAACATCAGGTTATCAATAAATGTCTCAACACCTCATAAAAACACCCACATTTAAAATATCGCAGAAAATAAAAGTAATATTTCTTTTAATTCAAATTAATTAACCTTTAAATCATTAATCTTTCTCCAATTTTCCAAAACTATATTTTGATTTTTGTAAGATGTTTTTAATAAACAGAATTACATTGTGTTGACAGATTTGTTAATATGGCCGATTTTAGCAATTTAAAAACAAAAAAAATTCAATCAATTTAAATTCAGTTTGAAATACAGTAAAGTATTTTGCTAATCAGAAATATTAAATTTAATCTATTAACTTGGAATTACAACTAAAATAAAAACTTCAAAAAAGATTTTTCATTTTAAAAATCAGTTGTAAAACTTAGGTACCATTTTTTTGTGATAGGAGTATACACACACACACACACACACACATATATATATATATATATAAGACAGGTTTTGGTGAAAAATTATTTAGACACATTCTATCTACTTATTCTTGATAGGATCCTTTCATATTCGTGGATAAGCTTTTTTGTGCGGTTATTAAAAGACAAGGGAAAAAATGTATTGCCCTCATATTGTAAATTATTCGAGTACTTTCGACATAGCATAATGTCATCATCAAGGTATTGTTAATTATAGAGTAAGTATTTAGTGTTTGTGGTTGTAGTAGATACTTTGTATTTGAAATAGACTGCCTATTTTTACTTATTCCACTTATTATTTGAGAATCAAGAAATCTTAATAAAGAATAGGGCAAATATTATTTACAAATTTAAATGCCCATTAAGGAATTGTATTCCTGATCAATCAGAAATTCGTAAATAATTATATAGGCCACACTACAACATGTTTGACACGCAGACTCACTCTACACCTTTCTGACCATAGCTCAATTAGATCTCATTTAAATATGCATGGAGACCTACCGGATACTCTTCGTAACATACTTGTTGACAACACTAATATAATAGCATCATCTACATGTAAAAAAAAAAAAAAGGCTAAAAATAATGGAAGCCTTAATAAAAACAAACAAACCAAAACTTAATAATATTAACTTTGAACATGGATATAATATCTTGACCGTGTTTAGAAAAATGAAAACATTTTATAAAACATACATACAACAAACTATTTCTTATTTAACAGTTAAAATATTTAATCCTTGAAAATGGCTAAATGTATAGCCGAAAGCGCTCGGATAAAAAGAACATTCGGACAGGTTTTATATAATTTATCATCCGAAAAGAAAAAAATTATTAGATCACATGAGAAATTGTATAAAAAACTAAATAAAAGCACCTTGTCTGTCATATTCAATAAAATGTGAATGAAAGAAGGATTGCTGCCTAAATACACAACTATATATATATATATATATATATATATGACAGTTATCATGTAGTGTTTATCGCCATGTCCTCACTGTATAGATCTATAAACACTTGAGATGTGCTGAGGCTCGACAAACGAGAGGTTCTAAAAAATCTATTTGGTTTGATTTGGAGAAGTGGGTCGACCCTATAACTTCTTTACGGCAGCGAATGCTGGACGATTTCCTCAAATATAAAGAAGAGACTCGATGCGACAGAGATGTGGTTCTACAGCAGGAGGGTAAGGATATCATGGGCCAAGCGTGTGAGCAACGATGAGGCCTTAGAGAGGATACACACTAATAGGAGGAGGCTTATACATAATGTTATGAAGACGCAGCTGAAGTTCCTGGGACACATAATGAGGAAGGTGGGCTTGGAGAATCTGATACTCACGGGTCAAATAGAGGGAAAGAGAGACAAGGGAAAACAACGCGTGACATACCTGGCAGAGTTAAGCAAGTGGATGACAGAACGTGGTTTGGTGGAGGTGGCAAAGGGAAAGAACTTGTGGAGAGCCATGATTGCTTACGTCCTCAAAGGACATGGCACATAAAAAGAAAAGAAATATACGTGGGTGTGTTGAAGAACCTTTCGTTTGATCCCGACCTACCTCTCAAAATCCGTATTTTAGTGACTAAACAGCGGAATTCTATTTTGTTTTGTTTTTTGTTTTGGTTGGGGGGGGGTCCATTTTCATTCCTTCCACTCCCCACTCCCCCCTCCCCCTTCTTCAAGAACAAGAAATTTGAAAAGCGATATACCAAGTGGATTGATTTTTTTTTGTTTTTTGGCCGGGTGGGGTTGGGAGTGAATAGCTGAAATAGCTTGTGCGTTTCATGACTCTAGGTCGGGCACCGAGAACCTTTTTTACACCCTCTTGCACGTAACAAGGCACTACAGAAAAGTTTTGGGAATTTGACCATAAAAAAAAAAAAACTATTCCCCGCCTTTTTCTTTGAAATCTCCCCTCAGCCGCTATTTCCGTCAGAACTAGATTATTTCCAAGCACTTTGAGAATAGCACCTCGATTTTGTATATCCAACCTACCCATCAATCATTACATCCGACTCCGAAACAAAAAAAAAAAAAGTCTGATCTTGTTTGGTTTTAATTTTCTTTTTTCTTTAAAACAAGGATAAAATATTATCCATCGTATGTAACTAAGTGAAAAATGTAATTTGAATTAATTCCTAACTGCTGAATTTGCAACGTTATTTTAATTAATTATTATTAATTAAAATAACAATTAAAATAAATTCTTGTAATTGTTATTACTTTTTTTTGGCTAGTTTCCCTTTCATCTCGTTTCACTTGCTTCTATATTAAGTTTTGTTGACTGAATTTCTTTCACGAACTATTAGCAATTATTATTGATTTGTAAGTAATTTCGGCAAACTTCAACCCTTGTAAAAACAGGGTGTCAGAAGGAGAGTTTTTCTTTTGATAGCTCTATTATTTTAACTACCTTCCATCCTCAATAATATATGTTGATTGAAATTGCTATTATTAGAATCAAAACCTAAACATGAGTGAATTTATACATTTCTTTTTTCTTGAGAATCTCTACAACAAAAATCTGGCGATTGTTTTCTCCATCTAAAAAAAAAAAAAAATCAGTTTCAAGTTGCTAGGGTAAAAAAAATAATTAACTTAAATGTCCCCTCTCCTCATTTTTATTATAGCTTGAATTTCTTTTTAGCTTTTTAAAAGAAATCTTTTTTTCTCTCTTTCGACAACATGGCTGTTACGTTCACATTATTCTTTCTTAAAAACAAATAATCGTACGATCACCAAAGTTAAGCAACATCGAACCTGGTCAGTACCTAGATGGGTGACCGCTTTGGGAATATCAGGTGCTGTAAGGTTGGGTGTGGAATAATGTTATGGATAACGGCTGTGAATTGGATATCGGAGAGCAGAGTTTCAATCCCAGTTGGGTTTGTTATGTTCACTTACGCGTAAATACTCTTGGATGTCTTTCTGTGCTTGAAACGTCGGGTAGAGGTGTTATTCACCGCTCGGGTACTTCAAGGTGCCTCAGTTTTTTAGTTACTATATTAAAAACAAATAAAAAAAAATCATTTGAAAATGAACCGCTTTCCCCAAATTGATGAAGAAAGGGTTTTAAAGTATCAAGCGTCAAATAAATTGTCTTCTTGCAATTTGGAGGATGTGCGGCTGGTGTAATGATAGAATCAGCTCCATTACACATTAAGAATTGGAGAGCAGAGTTTAAATTCCAGTCGAATTCGTTACATTGACTTGCGCGTAAAGACTCTGGGGAAAGGTATGAATCCGTCCCTTCTGCTCCTAGCTATGGGTTAAATAGAAGGATTTATATCCGGAAAAATCGTTATCCCCCCCCCACAAAGTTGTTAATGCAATACAAAATATTTTATTTTTCTTATAATTCCAAATATGTTTCAGTTTTAAATAACCCACGAACATTTGATAAGCCTTCACAAATCAATCCTTAACGCCCATACAACAACCTCATTGAATAATCCTCTACTTTGAGTGACTCTTCGAGCTTCTATTGGATGAACAAGAAAAAAAAACAGTACTGTACCAGGATGTGCTGGAAAGTTTTCGGCTTGAAGTCTTTCCCAAAATAATTTTTTTCTTTTTAATTTTAAAGGGCTTCTTGTTCGGGACAAGAATTTCTCAATATCCTCTCCTAAAACTTTATTCTGTATTCAATTAATCATTATTGCAATTAGAAAACAGGTATTTAAAAAAAAAAATAAATATTTTTCTCTTTTGTAAAAAAACAAATCTTTTGGGGGTAAGTAGCCCTTTAAAAATTTTGTTTTTTCTATCTAAATAAAAAAAAAAATAGATTTTAGATTGACTGCCCACCTTTTTCTTTTACCTTCCATATTTCAAATACGTTTTTATTTAAATATTTTTGACAATCACTTCGAAGCTGTAATCTTTAAAAAATGTTTCAAAAATACACTCTCCTCATTCTTAGTAAAAATTTGATTGAAGAAGATTGGTAAATGAAATTAAGCATGGGCAGAGCAGGTGTGTTTGAATCATATGACGAAAAGTAAATAATGGCGAAAAATAAAATTTTAATGAAACTGTTTAGTCAGATATTGGTGTTTTTCTCTCTCACTCCCTCTCTCTCGTTCGCTCTCTTTTGCACTCCCTCTCTCTCGTTCGCTCTCTTTTGCACTCCCTCTCTCTCGTTCGCTCTCTTTTGCACTCCCTCTCTCTCGTTCGCTCTCTTTTGCACTCCCTCTCTCTCGTTCGCTCTCTTTTGCACTCCCTCTCTCTCGTTCGCTCTCTTTTGCACCCCCTCTTCTCCCGTTCACTCTCTTTTGCACCCCCTCCTCTCCCGTTCACTCTCTTTTGTACTCGTTCTCACCCTTGTACTCGTTCTCACCCTTGTACTCGTTCTCACCCTTGTACTCGTTCTCACCCTTGTACTCGTTCTCTCTCTCTCTCATCCGCTCTCTAGCTTCTTTGCCTTCTCTTTCTCTCTCTCTCTCATCCGCTCTCTAGCTTCTTTGCCTTCTCTTTCTCTCTCTCTCTCATCCTCTCTAGCTTCTTTGCCTTCTCTTTCTCTCTCTCTCTCTCTCATCCGCTCTCTAGCTTCTTTGCCTTCTCTTTCTCTCTCTCTCTCATCCGCTCTCTAGCTTCTTTGCCTTCTCTTTCTCTCTCTCTCTCATCCGCTCTCTAGCTTCTTTGCCTTCTCTTTCTCTCTCTCTCTCTCTCTCTCATCCGCTCTCTAGCTTCTTTGCCTTCTCTCTTTCTCTCTCTCTCTCTAGCTTCTTCCTTCTCTCTCTCTCTCTTTTGCCTTCTCTTTGCCTTCTCTCTCTCTCTCTCTCATCACTCTCTAGCTTCTTTTGCCTTCTCTTTCTCTCTCTCTCTCATCCGCTCTCTATCTTCTTTGCCTTCTCTTTCTCTTTCTCTCTCTCTCATCCGCTCTCTATCTTCTTTGCCTTCTCTTTCTCTCTCTCTCTCTCATCCGCTCTCTAGCTTCTTTGCCTTCTCTTTCTCTCTCTCTCTCTCATCCGCTCTCTATCTTCTTTGCCTTCTCTTTCTCTCTCTCTCTCTCATCCGCTCTCTATCTTCTTTGCCTTCTCTTTCTCTCTCTCTCATCCGCCTCTAGTTTCTTTGCTCTCTTCTTTCATCCCTTCTTTTCTTTCTCTCTCTCTCTCTCTCGCCGCTCTCTAGTTTCTTTGCCTTCTCTCTCTCTCTCATCCGCTCTTCTCTCTCTCTCTCATCCGCTCTCTAGCTCATTCGCCTTCTCTCTCTCTCTCTCTTCTCCCCTCTCTTTTGTCCTCTCTCTTTCTCTTTTTCGCTCTCTTTCACCCTCTCTCCTCTGTTCTATTTTTATCGCTGACTGCAATAATGAGACTCCTTCCCCAAAGTTGAAATAAATCCTCTCGATTTAAGTTCCCTAGCTTTTTTTTCCGAGGGCCTGTAAAAGCCATTAAAAAAGAAATGTGGAGGCTGTGGTGTTATTTCTTTCCCGGGGTTTGTTATTTAATACCTTGTCATTACTGAAAGTGTTTTCCATCAGGGACACACCATTGTTGCTTTTCATTGTGGTTGCTACAATAAACATTAATTATATGATTATTATTATTATTATAATCATCGTTATCACTAATTTGCTAATTATCATATAAAGCCCACCTCCCTCTCCCAACACCATCGCTTTTATTTTTGTTGACCCACAACAATTTAAATCTATATTAGTTTACATTTAACTGAACCATCTTCCTGAAACACAAAGCACAAAATAACGCATTGTTTGAGCCACTTCTTTGTGGCATGAAATATTGAACTCTGGCATATTTGTGATCACATGATATATAATTAACTTAGTTCAACAAGGAATCTGCCGAGGATGGAATAAAAAAAAGATATCATGAAAATCCAAGTACAGATTTATCTAATCAAACCTTTTTTACTCCATTCAGTCAGTCTCGTATCATGCGTGATACGCGCTTAAGCGATCGTGTATTTTTCGATACATGACTGGCGAGGTAACTTTTTTTCCCCGCAGTAGGTTGCCATTTCTTTCTGCGGTAGACCAAGGCCTGTCCTGCTATTTACCCATAGCGAAGAAGAGGATTTATACGTGCTAATATCCTTGGGAAAGGTAAGTGAATGTAATGGATCTGACTGGAATTCGAACTCGGTTCTCTGATTTCTCAGTCTGAGCCGCTATCCATTACTCCGCCGTGCCTCCTTTACTTATCCTATTATAATTGTGCTTGCCCTCACCCCCTTTAGTTCGTTCGCATGACATAAACAATGGACTATTCCGTCTTGATTGCGTGGAAAGAAGGAAAAAGACACTAAGTTGGCCATCCTGGGTAAGACGATAAACTACATCTGGCAGCAAGGCCTCTGATCTGCAGGTTTTGAGGAACGTGGAACCACCTCTTAATCGTTGTTATTGCCAGATCCACCTTGAACAGGGGTGGTAGCACCTGTTAGGGTCTCAGCTATGAGCAAATAGTTAACCCCCAAACTGGAGTCAAAAGACTATGAAAGTGTAAAAATAGGTTTTAATACCAGCAATACATTTTTGTGTAAGATTATTGTAAATTCTCGAAGAAAAAATATTACTACCAATACATTTTTGAGGAAAAAATATTAGCAATACATTTTTTTTTTAAATATTACCAGTAATAAAAATCTTGACAGCATTAAATAAGCCATTGATGTTGATGTGCCGTAAAAAAAAAAAGTTGGTTTCAAGAAAATGAAAGAAAGGAGGGAAGATAGAAGTGTTAACGTCTGTTTCAGTGAAATGGAAAAAGTTGTTAATTTCAAATCTTTTCATTTGTACCCCCTTACTTCTTTAAATAACAACCAGCATTCATATTTATGATTGTTATTGCAATATTTTGTTACAGTTAAGCTCAAATCCGTAAGTGGAAAGGATAACCCAAGTCGTTCTTTTTAATATAAAATATTAAAAAGATAGATCCGTAGAGAACTCAATGTATAGAATACAGAGCAATATGATATACATTAAGGAAAAGCTTAACGCATCACGAAAATACGGTAATAAATTATGATTTATTTCAACCTGTAAGTCTCATCAGACCGAAGATATAAATAGTATAAACTTAATATATTCTTTATCCTTGTGTTTCCATTTCAAAGATGCATAAAACGAATTGCCATCTGTGTCCAGAACCAATGTTACATCAGTTTCGAATTCAGAGTTGTCCTTCTTTCAAAATAGTTACTACTACTAATGTCTGAACAGTCTCGTCTGTTGCACTATTTAACTCATACCTGGGAGAGAGAGGGGGGGTAGATAAGGAGAAAAGGGTATGTGTGCGAAAGTGAATGTTAGGAACGTGACTGGAATTCTCGCGAACTGAAAACTGAATTCTTGTATATATATATATATATATATATATATATATATATATATAAAAGATATGCAAAAACAGTATTACATTTTTATTAAATAAGTATTTGTTATTTTGCTCATTAAATTGTCTTGAAAATAGTGGGAGTACTTTGTATGTTAAATAATAAAACTGTTAATTTTCCAAAAAAAAAATTAATTAAAATTTATTGTACTAAGCTACGCACCCTAATAATACCATCTATACTTTGTACCCCTTTACCTGTTTGCACTGAAAAAAATCTAGTTTCGATTGCTCAATGTATGGCTATTTTAGATAGTGTGACGGATGGACGGAAATCACAGAATTTTATATATAGATTGAGTCATGCAACATCTTGTTTGTCTATGCGTTAACGATTCTCACAATAGTTTCAATTCTAATGGTTAATGGTTAATGAGAAATCGGAGAGCCAAGTTCGAATTCCAGTCGAGTTCATTACTTTCACTTATACGCAAATATTGAGCTGAAGAGCTAAGACCTACTATTTAATCCATAGCTTGGAGGAGAACAGATGGATAATTTCGTGGAAATTAATGTAACAAACACGCCTGCTTTAGTGTTACGAGTCTAATTACTTCTTTATGTTTTTAAGTAAAGATCTTAAGTAAATGGATGGCTGAATAAAAAGACAAAATTTATTAAGAGCTACGAAGGTCAGAAAATTGTGGGGAGCCTTGATCGCCAACGTCCTGAAGAGGCACGACACGTAGAAAAAGAATATGTTGCTCTGATTTTGAAAAAATATCGTTCTATTCCTGTGTGTCATTACCTTGTCGAAATCAAAGTTGCTACAATCCATGGCTCAGTTTTATTTTTAAGATATTTATAATTACTTTTTTAAAATTATTCTGTTTAATATAGATTCATATTCAATGATCTGTGTTCCACTTTTTCGTAATTTACAATGTCGTTTTCCCCACCAGTCAATAACTTTACATTTCTGAAAGAAGATGTTCAAGTTTTTCTTGCGAGACAGAACAAACTTTGTATTATTTCGTTCAGAAAATAATGCAGGTTTTTAACCATTTCTTTTAAAATGACAGACCTTACTCCATAAGACATTTTATTAATCCTACACATTAGCCGAAGAGATACAAGTGTAGTTATTCCACAAGTATAGACGTTTGTAAAGGCAACAAAATCTTCTTTTGGACAGCAATAAATTCAAAGAATCTGCAGTGTTATTGGTCCTGATCTAGCATCTCGTCATTAGTAACTTTCCGACCGCCGTAATACAGCTTCCTTGTACCTTTTCTTTTAAATACATCCATGGTAATTGTTCTGGTGAACTTTCCTCCATGGTAATTAGACTTTATATACTTAAGCATAATAAAAAATTGACAGCAAGAACTCATCATTGTAACAGCTGAAATGGTTAGCAGTAACCGTATGTTCAATAGCTATCAGTTTCTTTCTTTATTTCCTTGCCCCCCCCCTTTTTTTTTAAATCGTTGGAAACTTTTCCTTGTAAGAAGTTGTCCGAATGTTTGAAAAAGTTGTAATCAGTTAGCGAGAGGTTCTGGTGAGTAAAGTGGTTTTGGCCAGCTTCTTAGCCTAATACATTCAATTTCTGTATCGTTCGTTGTGCAATTTGTGGCCGAGTATTGCCATGAAGATGATTTGACTGATTTTAATTTATAAAAATTTGCGCTCTCCGGGAAGAATCAAATCTGTGTACCTCAGGGCAGAGGAAGTAATGTTTAAATTTCACTTGAAAGCACGAAATTTGGCTTCGCCTGACCGACTGTTCTCCGTGGTCAAGTCGGTAAGGCGTAGCTAGCTAAACGGTAGCTCCATCTGCCCTGTGGGTCCCAGGTTCTATGCTTGCCAGAGAGCGCAAACGTTTTCTTTCATAAAATTTCTCGAAAAGTTCAGGCCGGTAGACAAAAATAAATAAGCATACTGTTTAATAAATAACCGGAGTTCCTACTCAAACACAGTGTGCGATCGATAAATTGCGGTCAAAATGACGCAAAAATGAAAATAACACTGACATCTCATTTTAACAGATATATTTACCAATATTAGACAAAAAATATCTTGAAATACTAAAGAGGAAATTTATTTAATAAAATAACCATTGACTTCAACCATGCTCTCCAGACAACTTCGGAATCTCCTGAAACTCTTCTGGGCGGTTTCCTTGTTGAATGCTGTCATAATCATTGCTTTCAGTTCATCTTTGGTGTTGCAAGGACATTTTTCGGTCGGTCGCTGAACTGAGCCTCACACATAATAATCAAGGGGGTAACAGTCTGAGGGGTTAGGTGGCCAGATGTAAGGGGTGATGTGGTCGCAGATATTGTCTGACAAACATGACTGGGTTCTCCTCCTGATGTGGCATGGTGCAGAGTCTTGTTGCCAGACATAGGGTCATCCAGTAGCCGCCCTTTTGACCTAGGACAGCACCACCTCCTCAAGGTACTTGATGTAGGCCTCCGTGTGGCGTCTGAGGTCCCGTGGGAAGATGAATAGAGGCATAACGTTGCCTTCACTAGTGATCCCTCCAAACACCTTCGTAATCACCATTAGACTCATGAAACTCTTTTCGAATGCTCTGAACTGTCTTCAGATTGACACAAACACTGAAATGTTCGTATTGAAGCTTCAGACGCGAATGCTAAGCAGTACAGCATGCGCTTTCCAAATTTTTGGTGGAGTGAATTGCGTCATGGTGCTCTTTTTCTTACAGCCGGTACCCAACTAACCCTACAAAAACAAATAGTGCGCATGCGCGAAATTAAAAATATAAATTGGCGACAATTTACCCATCACACTCTACGAGTATTTACGTTTAAAAATCTGTCAGATTAATAAAAAAAACTGTCTATATTTCTGAGATGAGTTATTATGTACATTATTTACATTATTCGGACTATTGTCCTCATCTTTGTCGCCATATTTAGGCCACAAAAATCTGAGCTGACCAAGCATAGAAATAAATACAATATGGGAACCAGTAATAAGGAGTGCCAGAGAAAAGCAATGATAACAACAAAGTTGCAATATGAGCTCTGGTAAAAACATGCAATGATAATAGCAAAAAATTGCAATATGAGCACTGGTAAAAATGGTTGCTGAAGACATTAGGTTTATAATACCCAGATGAAGGACACATGGCACAGTGGATAAAGGCGTTGATTAGATCCAGTGACAGGACCCAAAGAGTGTGAGTTCAATACACGGTTAAGGCAGTGGAGAACTTTCAGAGGGAAATTAACAGGAGATAACTGATAACTGACATCCATCAAACATGGCACGTGGAACTAGAACAGTCTACCCCAGTGAGCGAAATAAAGGGTTCAGTTCGAAATTCCAACCACCTGAAAAGGCCGGAGCGTACAACGGCCGAAACGTTGTGATAAATATGGCGACAAAGATGAGGACAATAGTCTGAATAATGTAAATAATGTAAAAAAAAAAAAAAACTGTTCTAAACAACAACAAAAAATCGTATATATGGTAGTGAAAAAAAATCATAAGAAAATACGATTTTTACGCAACAAGGAAAATAGGAACTCTCTTAACTCTCTTGTCGGGACCGGAGAAAGAAGTCTCTTATATCCGGGTTTGGTCTATTTTGTTTAGATAAGTAAAGAATTTGGGACCAGAGAAAATGTCCGGGTTTGGTCTATTTTGTTTAGATAAGTATGGGAAGAATTTGGGACCAGAGAAAAGCTCTCTTATATCCGCGTTTGGTCTATTTTGTTTAGATAAGTATGGGAAGAATTTGGGACCAGAGAAAATCTCTCTTATATCCGCGTTTGGTCTATTTTGTTTAGATAAGTATGGGAAGAATTTGGGACCAGAGAAAATCTCTCTTATATCCGGGTTACACTGTATAAAATCAACATAACAAAAACTCGCTCTCTACTTCGGGAAATTGTCGACTTTTATACGAGGTATAAAGCAAGAATTCCTTAACTGGAAGAAAATAAAAATCTAAACTCCGGCAATCACATCAATTCGTTTGCAATACAAAGCTGTGTGCGTACGAAATTATGGCGATAGCTTGAATTAAACTGTAAAACATATTTTCTTGTAGATATTTTGCCTATGTAAGATTAATTAATTACGAAATTAGATTTTCTTAACAAAGAAAAAAAAACTCAATTATTCTCTACCATTATTTCTATTCCTTCCATAAGACTCGAGTTTTCGTCAATTTAATTGGTTGCAGGAAGAAAAAAAAAAGTCATAATTTTGGGTAACTGGTGGATGGGGTGTCAGAAAATAATCTTTTCATTTAAAATACGAAAGAGTGCTGAAAAGTTCACAGGCCGCCCATTTCGTAAAAGCCGAAAATTTTTCAGTACCACCTTGTAGATAATATTTGTAAATTTTTATATTACAAAGAAATGTAATAAAAATAATTTAAATGTTGACCATAAGACTTATTATTTGTATAAGTATATAAATTAAATGCATATTCTAACCTTCCGTAATGGAGGACTAAAAGATTATAGTCAACAAAATGTCTTTTCTTAACATTTAGCAAGTGGCAAGTCAAAAATTTCATTAGTCAAGCAACTTTCTGAATACATCAGTCAAGAACTACAAGGAAATTCTGGTTTTAGTTTTATATAAATAATGGCTGGCCGCTCGTATCGGAGTGTGCCTATCTGCAAGGGTGTTTATCCAATCCCTGTTGCAGACGCCTGCTCAGGCACATTTGTGTTTGTTCTGCATCCACAAAGCACATTTATGGTTTATACTGCAACTATGCTTGTGACTACACCCTGGGGTCACGACAGATTCACCAAACGAGCAATCGACCCCAGGCTGTGATTTTTTTTCTTTGTGTATATACAGTGTAACCCGGATATAAGAGAAACCCGAATATAAGAGAGATTTTCTCTGGTCCCAAATTAGAGCCTGTGTTAATGTATATAAAATAGACCAAACCCGAATATAAGAGACTTCTCCGGTCCCGACAACTCTCTTATATCCGGGTTACACTATATATATATATATATATATTGTGTGTGTGTGTGTTTTTAAGATGACGACTTGTTGATGTTGGCCGAAATTGTCAGGGTATACTCTCCAACGGATGAAGTTTGCGAAAGATTCATTCGGACACCCGAAAGATAACAGTAGTCACTCATTGATGAAATAAGCTACCTTTATTGGCACGACAGCACTTCGAAGGGCGGCGTTGGCTCGACACAACAAGGGTCAGACGGTCGGCAAAGCCATACGGCACTCACTGTATAGTCTGGTGTTTAATATTGGAATTTATGAAACTTCCAATTTCATTTTTAATATTGGCCTTTTAATTCGTTTTTTTTTTTCTTTCTTTCAAAAGAATATTATTATTATTATTATTATTATCATCCTTATTCTTATTCTATAACAACACCATGACCTTCGTAACGCTTAATTCTTAAACCCGTTAAAAAAAAAAGGCAAACATTCGATAACATTAAGAACGAAATGATATGGCGATATTTGCCAGGTTTGTAGCGAGGGATTTCTAATCTCCCACAATACTAATGGCCGGCTACAATTCGTTTACGGTCGCACAGCCAAGGTGAGTAGCCAGACATTATTACAGACGTCTGCTCTGTTGTTTTTACTGCAGCTACCTTGGTTACAGTTTCTGGGGAAAGAGCGCGCGTAATCACTTTTTTTAAAAACAAAACAAAACCATTACGGCCAAACCCTCGATGATTTAAGTGCGAGCACAACGATTGGTGACTTCTAAACAAGTCCGTCTATCCAGTTTCACTGACAAGGCTTGGGTCAACTCGTGGTATAGTTTTATGGTTTTCACGCACTTTTCAAAGGTGCCAAGCGCTGTACTGACGAAGGGTTAATAAACTAGTTTTTTTTTTTTTTTTTTTTTGGTTTTTTTAAATATCATTTTTCATTATAATAATGTAAATGACTTAAAGATTTATTAAGGAGTGCTTATTTTGAATTAAAATAATTATTTTCTCTGACTTTTTTTCCAACGCGTAAGTCAAAATTACAACTTTTCTTACCTCCCTGACCTTACAAAGCGTTCATTACATTTTTTTCTTTCCCGCTACCCGTACAGATCGTATATTACACTTTTCTTTCTTGCTACCCGTACAGATCTTATATTACATTTTTTCTTTCCTGCTACCCGTACAGATCTTATACTACATTTTTTTTCTTTCCCGCTACCCGGACAGATCGTACATTACATTTTTTCTTTCCCGCTACCCGTACAGATCGTACATTACGTTTTTTTCTTTCCCGCTACCCGTACAGATCGTACATTACGTTTTTTTTTCCCGCTACCCGTACAGATCGTACATTTTTTTTTCCCGCTACCCGTACAGATCGTACATTACGTTTTTTTTCTTTCCCGCTACCCGTACAGATCGTACATTACGTTTTTTTCTTTCCCGCTACCCGTACAGATCGTACATTACGTTTTTTTTTCTTCCCTTTACCCGTACAGATCGTACATTACGTTTTTTTCTTTCCCGCTACCCGTACAGATCGTACATTACGTTTTTTTCTTTCCCGCTACCCGTACAGATCGTACATTACGTTTTTTTCTTTCCCGCTACCCGTACAGATCGTACATTACGTTTTTTCTTTCTATGCCTTCTTCCGTTTGTCAATTAGATTCTCTCTCAAAAAAAGGCAACAAAAGAATTAACTTATTTCCATCACATTGTTGTTACCAGTCATCATTTTTCTTAAAACATTTTTCATTTGTTTTACTAACCTACGATCATCTCTGACGCATTTATTTATTCTCAATAAATCTTTAAAAAAAAAAAAGAAAAAAAAAGTCGGTTACCTATATCAATATCTCATTACCAGGAAATAGCTGTTAAGTGTTAATTGACGTAAGTGAAATGCGTTAAAAGATAAAGTAATCCCCTTAATGTCCGTGATGCATTCCAGTAGTATATTTATAATTTATTTAATGGATATTTTTTCTTCCGTAAAAATTATCGTTAGGTTGTCGCTTTAATTTTCATGCTCTTTAACCTTAACTGTACAGAATCTTTGCTTTTAGTAGCAAAGTTAACCTGCTGTCACTCGGGCTTTTTATTGCATCATTGGCCATCCGTAGCAAGCAAAATTGATCAATCTATCACTATTATTCAGCCTCAAACACGTGGTCATTGTTATTAAAAACTGTTGAAGATATTATTACTCGATAAGATTTATTTTACAATAGCTCCATAAATTAGGATATGGTGTATGTCTGTACAAAAAAAAAAGCTGTTGACATAAAAAAAATCTTATAAGCTAGTCTTGATTTTGTTTTCTTTCCACATAGCATTTTTTTTTTTCTTTATCCAGTTTTTTATGCGTGTGAATAATTTCTGAGAAATTTAATATCAATGTTTACTTTATAATTTAAAAAGATCTTTACACAATCTAATCCTAGTGTAGGTATATGTGTGGGGGGGTGTCTGTCTTTTCATTTGGGAATAGAGCATTGTATTTTTACTATTTAGATACGTGTCTATTTTGTGCTTATTTTTTTCCCTTCACATTTTGTTTCTTTTTTTTGTTTTTTTTTTTGTTTTTTTTTTTTATTTTATTTGGTCACTTGACAGGCTTTGTGATGGTTTTAAAAATAGTTTGGTTATACACACACACACACACACACACACACATATTATTTACATTTATTCGGACTATTGTCCTCATCTTTGTCGCCATATTTATCACAACGTTTCGGCCGTTGTACGCTTCGGCCTTCTTCAGGTGGTTGGAATGTCGAACTGAACCCTTTATTTCGCTCACTGGGGCAGACTGTTCTAGTTCCACATGCCATATTTAATGGATGTCAGTTATCAGTTATTTCCTGTTAATTTTCCCTCTGAACGTTCTCCACTGCCTTAAACGGTTATTGAACTCACACTCTTTGGGTCCTGTCACTGGATCTAACCAACGCCTTTCTCCACTGTGGATAAAACGGCCGAAACGTTGTGATAAATATGGCGACAAAGATGAGGACAATACTCCGAATAATGTACATAATACCTCATCTCAGAAATATATATATATAGTGTGTGTGTGTGTGTGTGTGTAGCAATCTCTCTTTTATACCTGTTTCATTAAAGGCGACTGACAAGGTATTGCAATTAAACTTTTTTATTTTATTTTTCCTGCATTCGTACACGTATTTTCTTTTCCGGCCATAAAATGCATAAACACTGTCCAAATGTTCTATATATGTGTGCCCTTTCGGTCATTATAATGGATTTTTTAAAAATCTCTAATTGAATATGTACATTTTTATATTTCTATAGTCATGGTTGATAAAAAGCTTAATCGCAGTACCTTGTCAGTCGTCTTTAATGTTTGTTTAGCGGCACATCAACATCCTTATGGGTCATTTAATGCTGACATTTAATTTTCTTCGGAGTATTAGTAATTTATTTTTACAAAAATGTATTGCTGGTAATATTTTTCCTTTCAAAAATGTATTGCAGGTTTTTTGGGGTGTTTTTTTTTTTTTACATAAAATTATTGCGAGTAATTTTTTTTCTTCAAGAATACATTGCTGGTAATTTTTCACTATGAAAATCCATTTTTCACTATCAAAAATGTATTTTTAAAAGTTTAATAATGTTTTGACCCCAGTTTGGGGGTTAACTAATAGGTGAAAGCTGTGACTCTAACAGGTGTTATCACCCCGTGCCAGGTTTGGCCTGGGAACAACAGCAGTTAAGAGGGGGTTCCAAACTCCTCAAAACCTCCAATCTCCTGATCAGATGCATTGCTGCCGGATGTAGTTTATCGTCATACCCAGGACGATCGCCTTTAACGAAACCTGTGTAAAACACACACACACATTATATATATATATGACATAGATTTACGTACGAACGCATTGTTAGAAAATTCGTGACGAAAGTGGAACAATTTTTTCGTGAGTCGCGTTTCATTATTAAAATATAAAAAAAGTTAATAAATGATATTGGGTAGACTATGCGCAATATATATATATATATATATAGTCTAAACTTCCAGTGTGAATGTGTGACATCAAGGTAAATATCACTTTCGTCCGATGAAGACCTATCTGACGAAACGCGTCAAACGAAAAGATTTTTCAACTTGATCATTAATTTTCCTTGTAAAAATAGAGGAAAATATAAAGTTCCAATATAAATAAATAAAATATATCTGTAAAATCTGTATGAATAAGGTGTATGATTTACCGTCATAAATTCACGTCTGTGAAGTAAAATATTTCTTTTGTGGTGTGTGTATATATATATATATATATATATATATATATATATATATATATAATCGCATATTGAGTACTGGTGTTAATAAAATAGTTCACGATGTAATATAACAAAACTATAAATTATATATTAATAAATATACATTTTTCATCACCGGAAGCACGAGGTTGAAGTTTCATGCAAACGCAATCATCAGGTGCTGAGTCAATTCAGCACCTGATGATTGCGTTGTGCATGAAACAAAAATTATATTTTAAAAAAAGCGCTCGCGTCACTTTCTTAAATTATGTTTTACAGATAAAATGTCCGTAGAACATCTGTCATACAATCTTTTTTTAATAAAGAGAATTAACATTGCAATGAAAGACAACTAAAAGGGGGCGCTAAAACTGCTATTTTAGCAAAAGGAAAGAAATAAATAAAAAAAAACTCCTTCCAGTTAATTTAACTTAGTTTTTGAAATATTGCAAAGTATTTTAATTATTGGAAATATTAATTTTTTTAATCTTTTAATTGAAAATCAAATTAAAATAAAATCTTTAAGAAAGATTTTTCATTTTCAAACATTCATTTATAGTACCTTAGGTATCGCGTTTTTTTTTTTTTTTTTTGTATACAAAAATAAAATATACATATATATAAATATACATAAATATATATATATTTGTGTGTATATATATATATATATATATATATATATATAGAGAGAGAGAGATGAACGAAAATAAAACGTAAAAACGTGATATGCATCGAATGGAAACACTGAAAATGTAGGAAGGCGAAATATGATTTTTTTTTTCTGGCGTCTGATGTGTCTAAATATACAGCTTAGCCGATTTCATTCGTTAAGGCGCTTTTGTTTTTATCGTCGTTGTTTTGTTTTTTTTTAATATCCCACATTAACAGCAGATTTGTTAAGAAATGGCGAAATATATCAATGTTATAGATACGCGCGTGATGGAGGAGGGGTCAATGAAAAGTTCGACTTGTGGATAATGAAAAACGTCATAGAATGAATATCTTAAAGTAATATTTCTAATAAAATAAGATTTTTAATTCATTTAATCTTAAGGAAATAATTTATAAGGAATATTTTAATAAATTTGAAATATTAAATTTTTACAGTAAATAATATTTTAATAAACAGCTGTTAAAATTTAGTGAATTAAAATATGACATACCTTGTCATGCAAATAAAAAAAAAATAAAAACGATAGCAACTGTTTTTCAAATATTTACAAATATAATAATCAGGGAATTATTAGATTTCACTGAAATTTTCAGCATTTATTCATTAATGAATTAAATTTATATTGAATTACCTTATTTTTAAGTTTTGCGGAAGTCTTTTTTCGGATTTGTTATAGCTACCCAGCTTAATTTAACTCATGGCTAATCTGTATTTATTTTTTTTTTTTTTTTTTTTTTTTTAGATGTCCCTAATGTTTTACATTTTTATAAAATAAAGCGAAATCTCCGAAAATTAAATCATTAAAAATATATTTATCGACCATGAACACTTATGGCCCGATAAAAAAATTAAAAAAAAAAAAACTTGTAAAGAATTGTCTACAGTGTAACCCGGATATAAGAGAGTTGTCGGGACCGGAGAAGAAGTCTCTTATATCCGGGTTTCTCTTATATCTGGGTTTGGTCTATTTTGTTTAGGTAAGTATGGGAACAATTTGGGACCAGAGAAAATCTCTCTTATATCCGGGTTTCTCTTATATCAGGGTTTGGTCTATTTTGTTTAGGTAAGTATGGGCTCTAATTTGGGACCAGAGAAAATCTCTCTTATATCCGGGTTACACTGTACCTAATTTTAATTGACATGTATTTTAAAAATTTCAGGTTTTGGTCGTTAATGATAAACTTGAGATTAAGACGAAAAATATAAACTTTAAAGGCCATTTACGATTGTGAACATTTTTTTAAATAATTTTGTTTGATTTTTGTTATTCTATGAAAATCAAAAATTCCGAATTATGTTCCTTGACATGAACTGTAATAATGACACGGTCGCAACGTAAGGTTCTAGTTATTAAATTTTGTCTTTAAAGGTTGATATAGAAAGGGTGCCCTCATGTCTAAATATACTTAATTTTATTTTAATTGTTTTTCATAAATTTTAAACGTATAAATTTATATTAACAAAATAGAGGTAAAACATTTTTTTTTTGCTAATCTTAAAAAAATGAATAAAAGGTTATATATATCTGATGATCCAGCGTCCCTTAAAAGGGCTCTCGTAAAATAAATTATTATAATGGAACCTTAAAGTGGTCTGTTTTTCTTTATATATATAAGCTTTCATTCAAAACCAACTTTTTTTGCCAATAGTATGTTTCAATAAACTTTTCCGATTTTTCCACTTGTACCATTTTTACCTATATGATTACAGTG